ATGGTAACTAAAAGCCCAAATGACATCAGCAACTATTTGATGGTCTTTTTTTGAGAAGTTAAACTGTTGATTCAAGTAGCCGCTTCTTGTTTATGTTGTTGTCTAAAACCCTTCATTCTACACTCAGTTTGATGTCTAAGCTGTTTTACCTGTAATGAAAGGCAAATTCTATCTAGTTTAGGTTACTTCTACCATCTGTTTTGCGAGGATGGGAGAATTTTGTGATTCTTGAATTCCTTCAGTCAGTGACTTTCTGTCACCTTTAGTTTCGTTCACATTGTAAATTGCTGCATTTACAAGGTTGAGCTTTTGTAAACATAAGTAAATCATGGAAGTTAGTATTTTTCTGTTAAGGTTTGGCAAGTTTGAATGTAGTGTCACCTTTCAACCTACTATTTTCATAAAGAAGCTTTTGCTTACAGTAAAAACATTTTACATGTGCAATGTTTATCAGATTGTCAGCTTCATCTCAGAGCCATTAGTGATAACTTTTGGCCATAAAAAAAGGGAAGCTTGTTCTTTTCCGTCAGTTTGATGATTGTGCGGCAATCTAATGGATCTAAGCCTTGGATGTGTCTGCTTTTAGTTTTTGCTTTAATTTCAGATAAATTTATTTCCCTTATAGAAAAAATGTCTTTTATCGCAAGTGTGCTTTAGAAAGTTTATTAAGTAGTTAAAGGAGAGAGTCAGAAACCTGGATGACCTCCATCAAAGAATTGGATAATTCGGTGGAAATTTCTGCCAAGGTAAGCATATTATGTGCTCAAGTTATTCATGTCCAAACAATACATGGCTGTGTGCCTATTTTCTTTTTAACATCTAAACCATGAACTTTCTAAGGGATTTATAAGGTCAAACTGTCTTGTTTGTGAGCATATCTAGCACTTCAATTCCTAACTCGAAATCTGCATTCTAGCAAAGCAGAGTTAACTACTAAGCTTCCTGGTGATTTGAGAATTCAATTTCATTTTGAAATTAAAAGAGAGTTTTATTGTTAGCGAGCCATTGATTTTGTTCAACTCTTTAATTTACCCATGAGTAGCAAATGATTTATGAGTTTCAATGGAGTCTTTGTCTTCTCAGATGCATTTATATTAAGAATGGCACAATTTCCGATTGATACATCTGCTTTCAAAATCACGTCCTAAACAGCTGTTTTTGTAATTATGTGCATCTGCATCTCAATAGGAATCGCAGATGTGCAATGGCAACCACAGATGTTGCCCATCTTTTAATTTGTATATTGCAAAACTTGCAGTTTACTCTTGAAACATCGTTTTTATAAATATCTTCTTGTCCCAACGTTTCCTATTTCCGTTTTCACAGCTTGTAATCGTTTTTGAATCCCTGTTTTCTTAGAATTCTCTATACGGCACCTCTTTTGATAAATTTCTAGGAAACAGCATTCGCATTAAACCTAGAGTCAGGTCGTTTACGATCAAATACAATCTGTCATCGTGTAGGGAGTTAGAGTGAATTGTAAATTAAAGTATTTTAACAAATAAGATGTCACATACTTTTCATGTCCTCTAGGTGCAATTGATTTAGCTTTTTTTTCATTTGGCTCTGCTGTAAATCCTTTTAATTTCAGTTCAATTACTATTAATTTCTTCAGGCATGTCTACAATGCTCTTTCTTACAACTTGCTGAAGTTTTTTTACCCTTGAGCTCTCGAGATATGACTGTTAAATCTCCCCTCTAGCTGGTACACATTTCACACATTTCCTTGTAAAGTAGTTACGAGAATTTGGTGTTAGATCAAGATAACTTCCTCCCGATACGATGGAGTATTCTCGTTACCTGTATACTCTAAAGTGTAAGGATATTACAGGGAGAATTTGCATGTTAATCACTTCTGTGAGTTCCAGGGTTAAGCCAACTCCCTGTTGATAAAAATGAAAGAAATTTTCCAGGCAAACAAAGAAAAATTCGTTTAATCTATTCGCATCCAATCTTATTTCGGTTAATACTCATACTAGAGTAATTTGATTTACTGCTAAATTATCGTGAACATTTTAAGTGACATGCACGTAGTGAGCGAATTGATTTAGAATTGGAAAGTTATTTAGGTAACTAGATCACCGGCTTGGTTCAATAAGATCTGTTTTCACTAAGAATAATTTCAATTAAGTTTTGCTGTTTTTAGATCCAAGTTGAATACAGAGAAAATAGCGGTATACTTGAGCAATGTTTTTGCAAAAAGATGATCACGTCTGTCAACGACGTAATTCATTCTAAATGTTCAACTATCGGATGCAGTGATTTTGAAAATTTAATTAAAGCGTGCACGTTCGATACCTGAGCACAATCTCTGAGTACCATTTTGACTCCCTAGTCAATGTATGGACGTTTTCGAAAGACTTTCCTTTCAAAGGTAACGCGAAAGCGCGCACAATTTGAAGTATCAAAATAAATTTCAATTTCGCAATAGTACTTTTCAAAGACATGCTTCGGCATGACTCGTGCCATCATCCCGTTATTGTGTTGTATCTTTTAGAAGTATGCTGTAAAACTGTTGGAAGGATAGTCATGTTCCTATCTAACTGGAGCATAACAAGGTCCTTGAATTTTGAGGCAAACTGAGCTGTAATTTCAGTTCAAAAGAAACAGATACAATAGTAGTTTCCTAAACAAAAGATCCGCAAAGAAATTTTCATTCGCCACTGAAACATTGATAAGAGATTAGAAAATAAATACATTTCCTTTACTGTCACCGGAGTTGCTTTTATTGAAGGAACCAATCACATGATAGGTAACCAAGAAGACCAAATAAGGCATACATGATACAGAATTCAAAAGGAATTCAATGCTCACTTTCTGTAATCCGATTGGACAGTTTTGTAAGTGACCCTGATGACAGAATTCGTACTGTAAACAAAATTTTGCTCAGTAGGTCTTTCCAAAACTTTCATTTCACGCCTTTTCTCGTCGTATGATTAGGAAAGTGACGAATCTTAAATTACATGTAAGCTCTGATAATCGCCCTCAGCCTCCCCTCCGTTATTGCTTCGTCTTTTTGCACCTCGTCACTCAGAACTCTGGGTTGGAGATTACTCTCAGAGAAGAGAAGGAGTTCTTGAAAATAAAGATTGCTATTTTTTTTTATGCGCATATGGTTTAGAATACAAAGTTATCTTGGGTTGTGAGAACAAAGCCTGGATTACCCGCGTGGTTCATAACTGATCCGTTTTAAGCACGTGTTGCAGCCACGAAGCTGTCTGAAGATAGTTCGAATGTTTCTACGTTTACAAACGGCGATATTTGTACAACTGGTAACAATCATGTCTGTATAAATTAGATGTGGATAGCAAAAGGTAAACGAAACGAGAAGTAAAGTAGGTGCTGTTATCTATTGTGAAACATGTCTGATTTTAACAGCAATCAACGAACAGGGGAAGACTTGGATGTCTTAATGAATTCAGTTTTGAAGAGCCACTTTCGCCATGTCTAATCCCGTATAATCTTACCTATTCTTAACCACTCTTTCAGAATGTACGTTGTTGTTTTTTCGGTATTTTTCTCTCGAAGTATCCTGTCATTGTGAAATTTCTGTATCTTTTTTAAAGGTAATTGCTTCCGCCTTTGTTTGATGCTTCCTCCAAGACACGCAACACAACTGTTATTGGAGAACTTTGAACAAATATGATTAAAGTTGATAACATTGACATCTGCTGGTTGCAAAACGGTTACAAAGTTCCGTTTATATATCCAAAGTTAAGATTATTCCGTGAGATTCGCTTTGATACTCTCAATGAGGAGACAAAAAAGTTATCGCACGGTTCTTTGTCGCCAAATCGAGGTTTTTTTTTTATTTTGCAACTGGGTTTTCCAATCAAATTTTTCGTTGTTTTAGTGATGATACCAACGGCCGAAGCGTTCATTCGTTCAAGTATCTGCCATTGCGTTTCCAACACTAATTTTGTTACGCTTTGGAAAGGTCAATAATAGTTCATATTCTTGAAATCCTGCTGATATTGTTGACGCGGTGGAGCTATAGGAAAAAGAAACGGGTTTTGTTGTTTTAATCTCCACAAACGTACTGCCCTTGAGTTTGTATAAACATTGCTGAAGCATGAGCTCTGTGAACTTGTTTTGACTGTAGACTAGCTTAAACGCGAATCGATGTTCTGTCGCGTGTATGATGGTTTTCCATTCAAACGAAATTGCAGCTGTCTATATGCGCTTTAAGCCTGACCATTGTGAAGGAAAGGTGTAAAGAAAATCGAATATTAAAAGAACAAGAGGGTACTTTGAGATATTGAAAAAGAACAGGTCGATTTTCTTTGTGCTATATATTTTCTTTCGGTGTTTCTCGATTATATTTGCGAGTGTCGTTGCTTGAAATATTTGTAGGAGCACAAATTATATTTTTAAGGGTAGGTCTTTGCCGGAATTGAAAGAAAAATTAATGCAAATTTATTTCAGTTTTTGGTCGATCTATGCTTAAAGAGAGAGGAGAAACTTAAAACAAAATCTTATCTTTTTCTGGCTTTGTATTTCATTTTAGTGGCTGTTCAAAGTATTTTATAAGAAGTGAAATTTCATAAACTGTAAATTGACGAAAAATCGTTGAATTGAGATAACAGAAAATATCACGGTGTAAATTTTTTTGTATTCTGTTTTATTCTGATGTGAACTTTTTTTTCAGCGTAACAGGGAACATTTCTTTTATTTGCTTTTGTTTCGGCGTTATTGTTAGCACCACTGGTGGATACAGTGTTTATTTAATTTTCCTTTAAGAAAAGACATTTACAATGAAGTTCTTTTGTCCTCTCTGACATTTTCCGCCCTCGGTTTATCATTGGTTCTTTCGGAGACAGTGTTGACAATTTTTTGGCTGCCTGCGAAGCTACAATAGATATATGGTGAGCCAAGGCTATAAATACCTCCTGGATAAATTTGAATTATATTTTCCGTCATCAAACTCTTTATGAGTTTTATTAGGTGTTATGAGTGTTTCGTTACGCTTCGCTTCAACAGTTTTTTCGCGGCTGTTGAGAGTCATGATAAATTAATATCCAATAGCAGCTATTTGTTTTGGTTATTTGCTAACAAGGCTCTTGGCCTATAGCGTTTTGCTCTATAAGCTGGATTCCATGCGGATTTGGTTGTTTAAACTAGAGCGTATTCAAATGAATTGTGGTTGATCTTACTCGTTGTAGCTAGGCGCTCTATCACCTCTGTTTTAACGCCTCAATCGACCTGCCTGCGTTAAGGACGAAGTGTTGACGGGAAAATTAGAATTTTACTTCAAGTTTTCAACAGCAACTGTCTTTGAAGAGTTGAGAGTTGATTGAGTCGACGGTTGAGAGGACCTGTAAATACAAGCTCCGAGTCATGGCGTTATTCTTCTCCGTACGATAAAGATAGAAACGACGAGTACAATCAATTGAGTTAATTCTTATTACACGAGAGGTTTGCGAAAAGGAATATCATCTTGGCTATCCTTGGTGGATGTAGTGAAAGCTTACTTCGACAGCAACGTCGAGGACAACGAGTTTCACTGAAGGGCTGGGAGTGACAAAGCTTGGATATTTTAAGTTGGTACCGCAAATTACTCGAACTCGAGAGCCAAAAAACCACACATATTAGTGACTCGTTGAGGAATCTATCGTAGGTACGCAACGACGAATAACTTACCGTTGTAGCCATATTGTTTCGAATTTTCTGGCTTCAAAGTTCACGCAGTAATTCGAACACATGTAGTGACTGGAAGATCTGCGATCAAAGCGCCATGAAATGAAACGACATGCTTTCGTGAAGAAGAACACAGTTCCTTCGTTGAAACGCGATGATCATGGATATGTTTTTGGTGTTAATAGTTGGGTAAGTCAAAACAAAGGCAGTTTAAAGTGTCTCTCATTAGAGGTTTCGTGCAATAAAGGCGTAACGTAGCTCATTACAAGCAAGATGTAAATAACCCATGAAAAAGAAACTTGTCTTCAATGATTATCGATTAAGGTAAACCTTTTTGGATTTTACCACAGACTAGCATAACGAAGGATATTTTTCTTTTGTAATGGCTTCCCCAAAACTGATTTTCAACTGTGTCCTTGCTTAGATTCTTAGAAATTCAATTTAAGCATCGTGACTAGGTGTTACGTTTCCACTGAATTATTTAAAATGTTTTTGTGAATTCTTTGCTGGGTGCAAACGAAAGTGTGAAGGTAACCTTTTTACTGCCCCACAGATTATACAAGGAAATCGTTGTAGAAATTTGGGAACTCACCACAATTTCGTTCACCATGAAACTACTGCTGACCTCAGTTCATTTGAAATGCCGACTGAAAATGTCATGCTGTCTCAAAATACAATTTTATTCTACATATTTTAAAATTTCCATCGGTGTAAGTGGCCTCTAAGAGTCTTTTTTTCCCTTCGATTTTTTACATTTGTATTTGGTGTAAGTATGATTTTTTTTTTACATTCCTACATTGTTACTACTTGATGCCAGTGAAATGATAGCAAAATTGAATTATGGAAATTTTGATACGTTAGGTAGAGTCGCTATTGTCTGCATTTTATCCGTATTGTACAATTACTATTCACGTGAATGAACATTGTTCATTTCAAGTACTGTGTTCTCATAATTTCCGGGCAGCAAATTCAAAGTCTTGACTTGGAATGCTTTTAAATGTTTTGTCTTGTTCAATAACTAAGGGGGATATGAACTCTGTAAATATTTTGACATAAATAGTTGCGGGTAACCGATCTTTTTCAGGCAACTTTTACCGTTAAGGACTCTTGGAAGCTGTTTAGAGTGTTTTTAAATTGCATAGAAGTAAAAACATCGAGTGTTTTTTTGTATTTTTGTTTGTGCTCCTAGTTAGAAGAATTTTAGTGGTATCTTGAAAATTAGACGAAATTTGTGTAAGGTGGTCTATCGACGGTGACAAATCTCTCCATTTACTGAATATGACTATTTTTTTTAGAAATACTGAACAGAAACAAATTTCAGGTTTAATCGTAAATGAACTTCGCTATAGTTATATGATGTAGGTAACTTTGAATTGAATTCAACTGAAGAATTAGTGTTCTTAAAAAACCCGTGAGCTTTTATACAATATCAATTAATTAAAGATATATGAACCGCACGCAATTATTTATGATCAAACTTTGGAATTCGCATTTGAAAAAGTAAGGGGATCTGTTTCATTCTGGTGAATTTTAAACTTAGTTTCAAGATTCATTATTCTTTTCTGCAAACACACTGAATGTTTTTCCAGTTCTGTTGTTCGTGGACGTATTTTTAGCCAGTAATATTGCATTTGTCCTATCGTAATGGCCATTAAACCAAGTGCAATATCTGAAATTTGGCGCCGTTTCATTGTCACTACTTCAATATCACTGAAGTTTTTCTGTCAGAAAAGTTAGGACGCTACCAGAATACGGAATGAGTTGAATTTTGATCATTAAAATATTGCTTTTATTTTTATTTGCACGCGTCCACACTTCTATCCAGTAGCATGAATCTTATCGCGCTCGATGTAAAAAAAAAAAAGCAAGATTCCTCATATCTATCAGATTTATTCCCTTTTGATGGAAAGTTATGAGATATATGTCGTTAGTTATTCGGTTTCTATGTGAACAAAAAGCATGGGAGGTTATGAATGAGGATCCTTTGTTTATCGCACTTCAGGTAAGAATTGGAATTTCAGGTTATGAAATTGCAGACAAACCTTTATATTTTTGAATTCTTAGATACCTACTCGCCTTATAATCTCGCCCCACTTATAAATGGCTTTCCTCGCGAAGTCTATTAAATGGTATTTAGTAGATTAGTAACGATAATTGATTGAAGACAGTCAATTTCTAAACAACTGCTGCTTTCATTATGTTCTTAAACGTGCAACTAGTTTATAATCAGGAATTATTTCGAGCTTGATGGAAATTATAATGTGTGCTTTCTCCTCGTCTGTGTTTTCCTGTGCGATGTTTTGATACACGATCTTACAATGTTTACGCGTAAGTGATACCAGCGGAAGCCAAATCGTGCAGTATTTCCTATCTCCGGAATAAGAACATTGCAGAATCTCTCCGTCTTGGTTCAGTTATGACATTGATCGTTGTATTTATGTAGTTTCTAGACAAATCCTTAGCTTCTTTGAGAGAACTTTCGAGATTTTTTGTGCAACGGGTGTAGGGAAAGATCCACTGAATAAAATTTAGTGGAATTGTTATTTCTCGTTGAAAATTAATATCTTCTTCAGCAAAGTGCCTTTTATTTTGTGTCTGTATGATTAGGTTGTCACTTACCACAGAAGTTCGCGGTACAGGAAGGAAATAAAAAGTAAAGTTCTATATGTAGTGACAAAATTTACCAACTGGGAGACTGAAGCATGAAATATAAACATGTCTAGTTATGCTGTGTTTTCCTTCGTTGCTTGTATGTCAACAAAAGCGAAAATTTAATTAAAATTTCCCGGCTTATCTCTTAGCAGTTTGGGTGGCAGGTTATGCGGATAATGCAATGTTATATTTAGCTAATAAATATTCCATTACTCCAGTGCAAATGCGTATCAGTTTTCGTGATGTAATGTCGCTTAGAGCGCAAATCTATGCAAGGCTTTAGTCTGCTAAGGGCAACGTTAAATCAACTTTGGCGGTATTCTGATGAAATGGAAGTCCAGGTTTGTGTTGGTACACTCCTAATAAGTTTCTACGAAGAGATTTTTATCAAAAGTGAATCTTGCTGAATCACGAAAGGGTCATCTTAAGAGTTTTGTTCAAAGTGAGATTTATTTACAACGGAAGTTGCGAATTTTTGATACGTAGTTCTTTTATTTCGTCAGTTTTTTTGCTTGTTGGGGTCTGTTCGAGCATGAAATAAGATGAACGATGCTTTTAGAAGATCAGAATTAAGGAAATGTTGTAATACAGTCAACAGGGATGGAAAGGTGTCCGTAACTCTCGCTTTTTATTTCCACAAGTCAAAGATCGCACATTTAAAATAATTTCTGGAGGAATAGGACCTACGGCAACTTAGAATTCATTGCGTTATTCTGCTTGATTTTGATTTAACTACTATTCCTTTTTAACAAGTAGCGTCTTTTGAAGTCATATTTTAAAAGAAAACGCCTCTGTAACGCCCATTGTGTCTGACGTATTGTTGTCGTTTCCAGGCCTATTACCGTCAAGGAGTGGCGCTACAGTGCCTGGGTCGGCATGCGGATGCCCTTGGAGCCTTTGCGTCTGCGCTTGCGCAGGATGATAAAAGCCCTCAACTGCTGAACTCTCTGACTGAAGCCGCGATGAAGTCCCCACTGAGAGGTAAATATCGTATTTCAAGAACTCACAAGAGTATTTATGAATATGCAACTAGACCCCGTGGAGCGAAAAGAGAGACAAAGTGTTTCCGAAAATGTGTTCGCTCCGAGTTCCATAGCAACACTTTCATAAATCTACTTGCTTGCAGTTCGTGAAAGGACAGGAACCTGAAGACATAAGCGCTTCAGTTAACAACTGAGACATTCCTAACTCCAATAC